AAGTGTTGTCGCGCCGCGGAGGAGTGCTGTGCCGCGCCGCGGAGGAGTGCTGTGCCGCGCCGCAGAGGGTTGTCGCGTCGCGGCGCGCGGGGCTGTTGCATGCTGCGCGTTTCGGGCTCCTTTGGGCTCGTCCGAACTCGGAATTGAGTTCCGTTTTTTCCTGTGTGTTCCCAACGAACTCCTCTATCTAATTACGCTTGCCCAACTGACTTTTGCCCAAAATTCGATCTTCCCGAAGCTTTCGACCTACACACCATAAACGAAGAAAAACCGAAAAAACATACGGAAAACACAAGAAAAACCAAGATAGAGGAAAACACGCAATAAACGACAAAACGACTCTAAAACCACATAAATGACTCAAAATGGGGAAAAAGGAAGAGAAAATAGACACGACTAACGTAACAAAAATGGGACAAACAGTTCCTACCGTACGAGCATCCAAAATAAATATTAAATTAATGGCGTTGTCTGTTACTTTAATTTAATAAAAATGATGAACTCTCATCTCATGGGTTTGTATCTTTAATCTAAACTCTCTAGCTTGTTGAAGTGAGATAGCAATATATATGTTTTCTTGGATCCAAATCCAATATTCAAACATTGAAACTTTATTGAGAATAACATACAAACTCTGCAGAGCAGTCAATTTTCCGAGATCCGGGACCAGTTTCCCTTTTAACTTCTGTCCGCCGAGGTCACTGACAAAGAAAAATTAGATGTATCACATGGAAATCAGACTACCAACTTATTTCGAAATTGCAAACATTGGTGACGTTCTTACATTCGTATAACTTGCTTTGAGTTGCAGCTGATATGCAACCAAAGGGCAACTAAAAGACTGCAAGGCAGGCCGTTATCGGTGTTCCAACTCTTAAGAGTGTTTGTAGGATCGTGAAGATTGTTTTTAAAGGCCAGCAAAGCTGCAGCTTCATCTGTCCATGAGAAAACCAAGGGAATTACATTATGTCAGCACGACTAAAAACGACGTACAATAACTGAGCAACTATTATGACGCCTTGTGTTTCTCATATAACAACAAAAAATTCGACAGATATTCTAGTAAAATTTTAAATGGATATTTCCATTGTATAATTCACAAATCTTAGACAAGAGATTGGTCGGATATTGATCGTCGATGTCGGCAGCGGCGAACCGGGGGCTATTGGATTTAGTTTAAACCAAATTGAAAACAAAAATTAAAGTAAAATTAGTGTACGAAGATGAAAACCGACAAATTTAATAAACTAATATTGTATTTTTTTTCCCCATATATATGGTAATAGTCTATAAACTTTAATAAAAATAAGTAAAACAAAACAAACGCATGAAAGCATATATCGTTAATAATACAAATTACAAACCTTCTTCTGTGGCATTAATAACCCTCAAAGACGAGATGAAGCACAAAACCACTAGAGATAACACACCAACTCTTATCATTTCCACAACTTACTCTAAAATCCAAAATATTATTTTGATTGGATCAAGCCCTGAATGTCACTTTTTATAGGAAAACTCGTACTTGTGAGAGATCATTCAAGTCTTATAAAGTCAAAATAGAATGTTGAAATTGAGGTGAAGAGAAACGACTTTCTACCATGCAAGTTAACTTTTTTATATAGTTTTTCATTATTAATTTATTATTAAAAGAAGTGGTCTACTAAATTAATAGCCTACAACTAGACATGACCACGGGCCGAACCGGACCGCCGGTACGTCCCTAATCGGCCTTGAACCGACCCATGCTCAACGGGCCTTAAACCGAGCCCGTAGTTTGACCAGGTCGGTCCTTAATCGGAACTGGAACCGGCGGTTCCGTCGCTTTCTTTTTCTTGTTCTTTTTTATTGTTTTTATTATTTATTTACCGAATCGGGCCGACCCAGAATCGCCGGTTCACCGAACCGACCCGTCCATAAATTCGGACTGGTTCAGGGCCGACAACCCCTGGTCCGACACCGATTTTGGCCATGTCTACCTACAGCATATACAACTTGTCTATCACCAAGCTAAGCCTTTGTGGTGACTCAATTAATCAAAGATTTCAACAGTGCTAAAATTAGCATGCACTAATTGACCTATTTTTTCACCTTTTCCATGAAGATTTAGTATGGCAAAATTAATAAGGACAAAATGAGATGTATATTAGAAGAGGTTGATACTTATTTTTATCAACTCATACTTGTCAGAAATCATTCAAGTCTTTTAAAGTCAAAATAGAATGTTGAAATTGGGGTGAGGAGCAATGACTTTCTACATACAAGTTAACTTTTTTATATAATTTTTTATTATTAATTTATTATTAAAAAAAAGTGGCCTACTAAATTAATAGCCTACAAGTAGACATGTCCAAGGGCCGAACCGGCACGCCGGTACGTCCCTAATCGGCCTTGAACCGACCCGTCGTCAACGGGCCTTAAACCGAGCCCGTGGTTTGACCGGGTGGGTCCTAAATCAGAACTGGAACCGACGGTTCGGTCGTTTTCTTTTTCTTGTTCTTTTTTTTTTATTTTTATTATTTTTTTATCGAATCAGACCGGCCCGGAATCACCGATTCACCGAATCGGCCAGTGCATATGTTCGGGCTGGTTCAGGGCCGACAACCCCTGGTCCGAGACCGGTTTTGGCCATGTCTACCTGCAACATATACAACTTGTCTATCACCAAGCTAAGCCTTTGTTGTGACTCAATTAATCAAAGATTTCAATAGTGCTAAAATTAGCATGCACTAATTGACCTATTTTTTCACCATTTCCATGAAGATTTAGTATGGCAAAATTAATAAGGACAAAATGAGATGTATATTAGAAGAGGTTGATACTTATTTTTAAAAGTAAAAAATTGACTTTTTTTTATTTACCAACAAGGGTTGGCTCAAGTGGTAAGCAGCTTGATGTTGCTTAAGCAAGGTCTCGGGTTCGAGTCCTTGTGAATGCAGAAAATTTTTTTTGGGAGACTCACCCACCACTGCCAAGTGTGCGACCCGAGTCGACAAACGGATTAGTCGGGGCATAGCTCCGGATACCGTGGCTGGCTAAAAAAAAAAAAGAAAATTGACTTTTTCTTTAAATAATATGACTTACTTAAAAAGATTTATTTTAAGAAATAAAAAATTAGATTTTATAAATGTCCTCTCCACCGCAGAAATCCAGTCGAGAAAGTCGCCAGCGTCCAGGCCGCCCGAGAACTTCGACAAGTCGACGCGAAATCCGGCCTCCTAGCGCGAGTCGCAGCCCTCCGCCACACGTCGCTGGCCGCGAAAATCATCCCAGCCATCGTCCTCGTGGTGCGCGCCGTCCCAGCCGTCGTCGCCGCCGTCTCGTCGGTCGCGTCGGAAACCGAAAGGGTTGGTTTTCAACTGTGTGTCGTCCCCGCTGTCCTGACCGTGCGGCGAAGGTAGTGAGTGATGACGACGCGCGCTGCCAAACCCCCTTCCTCCACGTCCGCCGCAAGCCCCGCCGCGACTCTCCCGGCCTGCCGGGTCGCGGTCCGCACCTTCCCGAGCCATCAACATCCGCATCGCCGACCGGATTACCTCGACACCTTCCGAAAGCCCTTCAACCTTTCGATCAACCCGTTCAATTGAAAACCCTAGATCATCGGTTCTTCGATCTAAGTCCTCCGAATGAGCATCACGTCGGTCGTTGTCATTTCGTTTTGGCGGCATCTTGAATCGGTCTGACTCTGGATACCAACTGACGCAGGAGAAAACGTACGATGGGAACAAAGAACTCACAGAGAGGACTCAAGAGATAAATTATTTCATTCAATGTCTGTTTTACAATGAGAACTCTTCTCATTTAAATAGACTTTCCAACCCTAGCTTTATTGAATAAATATCCTAAACATAAGAATAAATAAAAGAAAATAAATAAAAATGAATAAAAAGCTATAAATAATAGATAACTAGATACGAAGGCGATCAAACTTGTCCAGATACGCCAATGCGATCTCGTCGCCATTAGGTCTTGACCATAAAATGAGCCATTGGCTCAAGAAATGTGAGTGGCTCGGTGTTTATTACCCACGGCAATAAGTTGCGCAAAGTGAAGCTACAAGAGCTTTGACTATTGTCAATGCTTCCAAGACTTACTTAGGCTTAGAAAATACTTAATAAGCTCTTAATCACATGCATGAACCGTGGCTAAGACCATGAATAGGCTAGGGTTCGAAAACGAATTAAAGCGGACAACAATTCGGCTTACGCGATTAAAGTGAAAATTCAAACGGCGATCGAAAAAATAAAATAGAACGAGCTATATAATTATATTATCTACATAATAATATAATATATTGCCCCATAATCAAGGCTTATAAATAATAAAATAAAATGTCATTAATTAAAATAAACTCGAAAAAATATAATCTTCGAACTGGGCGCTACAACTTTTGTAGTCATCCATAGTGATACTCGAAGCCGACACCCACAAAGCCTTGTCGTATTTTCGGATTTTGAATTCCTTTTGGCTATGAACCACAGCATACGAAGAACATCCGAATCTTTCGCAATTGGGTGCTGGTTTGTAGCCTTGGTCATCGTTGCATTGTGATGATGAAAAGAAGTCTCGGCCAGTAGCCTTGCATATTCCTTGTAATAAAACAAGAAACATTACAAATAGAAAATAAAGTGTGTTTCTTAGGAATGGAATTTCGTAGGAATGGAATAAATTGAAGAATTGAATGATTATGAGAATAGAATGAAACAAGTTTTGTTATTGATGCGTTTGGTATGCAGAATAAATAGGACTTGAATGGAATGACATTATTATTTTTTATTATAAAAATAAATAAAAGTTTTTTTTAAAAAATAATAAACTTTTAATAAATTATATATGAATGATTTTTTAAAAATACATATAAATAAAATAATATATTTTTAAATTTTATAAAAAATAATATATTTTTAATAATATATAAAAATAAAATAATATATTTTTGAATTATAAATAAGAAATAATATATTCCTAAAAATAATATATTTTTAATATATAAAAAATAATATATTTTTAATAATATATAAAAATAAAACGTAATATATTTTAATAATATATTTTATTTTTTAATTAAAAAATAAATCATATTAAGTTTTCAATTTTTTATTTGAATTTTATTTTTTAAATAATATATTTTAATAATACTTAAAAATAAAAAGTAATATATCTTTAATAATATATATTATTAATATTTTTAAATAATATATTTTAATAAATATATTTTTAAAAGTAATATATTTTTAATATATAAAAAATATTATATTTTTATTATATATAAAAATAAAATAATATATTTTTAAATTATATATAAATGCTTTTTTTAGTTTTATTTTTATATAAGTAATTAATATATCTAATTAAAAAAAATAAAAGTAAGTTTTTAAATTTTTTATTTGAATTTTATTTTTAAAATAATTTTATTTAATATTTTTAATCATGATCTATAATATATATTATATATTTATTTTTTATTATTATTTGTTAATTTAATTTTTTGAAAAATTGATTCCTACACACATGGGAATGAGAAAACCTTCCATTTACAATGGAATGGCTAATCCCATGGAGATGGGTTTTGCCATTCTCATTGGAATGGTCATTCTTTTCCAAAAAATATATTAATCATGGGATAAGGAATGAGTAAAGGAATGATCATTACATTCCCATGTCATTCTTTCCTATTAATCATGCCGGTTTGATGGTCTAAAAGTAACTATAATGTGTTTTGGTTTCTAAGAGGGATTGATTTATATATAGGCATGTGGTAAAATTGGTTTAGAATATTTTTGTGTAGTTGGTATGTAATTATTAATTGATATACATTTTCAATTAGCCTTTTTCCAATCTCAGTCTACACGTCGCACTTTTAAACAAAAATATATATTTATTAGTAAATGAAAAGTAGGTGGCATTTCAATAAGATATGGAAATTAGAAAAATTTTGGGAAGTATGATTGACCAAGTTTGCCCATGTTATAGTAAAATAAATAAGTTTAAAATTTTAAATAGGGATTAAAAAATTATAAAAAAAAGTTGGGGCGGGGGAGTAATAATCAATCATCAATAAACAATACCGTATGTAATTAAATTATCATTAAATAGTTAAACACAATCAATAATAAGATCTTGTTTGGATAAAAATTCAACCAAAATCTATATTTACGCATGCAATTTCAGTATTTCTACCATGCGTGGAGATTAAAAATCACCAAAATCTCTAAAAGGTAAAGAAACACGGCATTTGTGGACAAAAATTTTCACGCTTCTTGAAATCCTTGCAAATCATGTTATCATTACCATCGTTTTTTTCTTAATTTTCATTACTTGTTGAACTTTCAATTGTTCACATTAATGAAAGACCCTACATACAAAGGGCTCGATTAAATACCTCACATTTTGATATGATGTCATATACTAGGTCAATGAATTGAAGATAGAACTAATTAACATCGTTAATCTCACTACCGAGCTTCCCTAAAAGAAATTTTTCATTTTATGACGTTATTCTCTTCTTATTTAACTTGACCGTCAGATTATCCCTAAAACAAATTTGTCATTTTACGCTATTGTATTTGACGTTATTCTCTTCTAAAACAATTTATTTAACATGAGCAACAAATTTGTCATTTTACGCTATTGTATTTGAAGTTACTCTTCTAAAACAGTTTATTTAACTTGAGCGAGAGGTTATCTACGTCGTCGCTCAAATATACGTCGTGAGGTTGTTCAAAGATCAAAACGAGTGCAAGACTCAACTTTTATGTCCAGTTCTTTTTATTTAAGTCAAATCACATTTTTTTTTTTTCTAAAATGACCAAAATTTCTCATGGGAACAAGATTCTTTTTTTTTTCAAAACGATAGACTTCCATTAAAATAAAACACATAATTACAAACTAGAAACAGCTAAAAAGCTGAATATACAGCCACTAGCTGAATCTATAAGGGAGGACTAACCCATATGCATCTCGCCCAGGGCAGCCTAGAACCAATCTAACTGCAACACATAAACACAAATCACAATCAAGCTCCCAACAGGAGAATAGACCTACTCTCAACAGGAGAATGAACCTACTCCCAACAGGAGAATGAAGTACCAAAACAAACAACACAACACCCAAACGGGCAACCAAAACACATAACAATACGATACAAACTAACCACTATAAAACACAAAACGCACAACAACACAAACAAACAACATATACTACTAAAAAATCCACCCTCCTCGCCAACCGTCCAGCACCCCAGGACCTCCGATGCCCAAAGACTCCACAAAGGCCAACCTGAAGAGACTTCAACCCTCAGCCCAAAAACACACGGGTCGAGAAACTCCCCCTACGGCTAACTCAACCCGGACCGAAGAACTGAAGCCTCCCCTGAGCGGCCACCACCGATAGATCCGAGAAATCAGAACCAACCGTCCTCTCCACCACTACAATTAGCTTCCACAGCCCGGGGACCATTGGCACCAATATGCAGGGAGACAGAGAACACGAGCCCCGACCTCCTCCAACAGCCGCCTCACTCCTGAAACCAGCAACTCACACCACCACCGCCATGGCATCCACACAAAAGGATGAGACCACTCGACATCAGTGACCGCTAGCTCACCAGAGAGGCAGCCAAGACCGGATCCAACAGGGAGACAAGAGCCGAGAACTACCTCCCGAGCCAATCCCACACCCCTTCGCAGATCTAACCACTCCCTTCACCGAGAGCCGGTGACGGCTAGCTAGACCCACCCGAGAGCATAAGCTGGCCAAATACCACGCCCCGAAACCCCACCGGCTTCTTCTCACCACAAAACCAGCAGAATCCCCAAAAGCCTAAATCCAGAGGGGACATCCGCCAGCGGCCACTCCCCGTCTAAGCCCCAGGAGACGGAGGAGGAGAAGAAGAAAAGGCCGGCAGACTCGGACACGCTACTGCGACCCCCACCCCGTCAATAAATCGCTACCATGACCGTCAGCAAGCTTGGCCAAAGCCTAGCCAAAGCGACAGAGGTAACAGAACAGCCCGAAGGGTGAGGGCCGCCGGAAGGTTAAATCTCCACGAAGGTACCGGATCTGCGGCTGAGAGGAGGCTACGACGAGGAGATCAAAGGAGACGAGCGGCTACAGTAAAAGGGGAATTAGGGATTTAGAGAGAGGATCTTTTTTTCGTATCAAAAGTTTTTATGGGGAACAAGATTCTCAAAGATGAATAATTTTTGTGTATTTGTATGATCCGTTGCTAGCTCATTTAGCTTCTGTGATACTACTATTTTTCTCATTTTAATTTCATAACAGGTCTACTAGTCCTGGTACTACTATTTTTCCCATTTTAATTTCATAACAGGTCTACTAGTCTTGGTTAGATGGTGACATGATTTGGTTATATAATTATAGTTTTCGTAAGGAATTCTTCTAAAGAAGTTTCTATTCATTTCTCATTATGAGAAAAAACTAATCACTTTTACATGTTATATAACTATCGATTACTATTTTACTGGCATGGCATATTGCTCTAAAATCATATAAGAATGAAATCTGATATAAAGCAGTCGGAACAAATGACACCCAAATGAAGCCAAACAAAATTTACTGTTGTAGAAAGAAAATTGGTCAAGCAAATGATTCTAGTGTTCTCATAACTCAGAACAACAAATAAACTACGATGCTCCTCGACAAAAGATGAAAGGCAAAGCTGTTCTTCTACGCTTGCACCTCGACTTCAGTCGGCACAATGGCTGCTGGCCTGATGAATTCCTCTTCTTTCGGAGGGTGAATTGTGACGAGATCCGGAAGAGGAGTTGTGGGGCCTTGCTTTCCTTTGGGATCCCAGTCGAGCATGATCTTGACCTTGATGCCAAGTACCCCCTAATAATAATAGTAACAATAAGTGAATAAATCTCCAAATCGTATTTTACTATTCAACACTTGCATTATATACTAAATCGAAATTTTAACTAATTTTTTTCTTTTTTTTTTGTTTATTTGTTGTCGTTTAGTGTCCATATATGTAATCTCTTTTTCTAATTGAGTCGTGTCATATTCGTGTTTCCAGTTGTGTCATCTATTGCCACCCCTAATTAATATTGCTGTAAACACAAAATTAAAAAATAAATAAATAAATAAAAAATAAAACGAACCTGTCTGAGCAGGACGTNATCTTATGAATTGAAGTAGTTTCGAAGCTATACCTCACATCCCTTGGCCCCACTTTCCATAACAAACCTCAAAACACCATAGCAAGCCCTGAGGAAACATAACGAGAGTTAGATAGCTTCACAATTACAAACTAGGCAATGTACAAACTAAGTTTATTTCACATACTCAACATCCAAATTGAAAGGAATGGTTTACCAACTGTTTCATATAACAACTATAGCAAAAAGAAGGTAAATAAAAGGTGTACCAGAAAATACCTGAACCAAATGCATATGATACAAGAAACAAATTTGCAGCACATAAAACATAGACAAAATGCACTGTCAAAGTGAACGATCAATACCATAAGAACTGAACAGAAATTGTATTTCAAATACATGATTTTATCGATGCGTCTTCCTCAAGGTCTCAACATGACAACCAGTAGTCATAAAGATTATGAGATGGAGTAAGAGTAGCTCTTGTCATCTTCCGACACAAACATTGGTATTTAAGGACCGGCGTTTCTTTATGGATGACTTAAATTTCGGACTAATGCATCCGCATGGATAGGAAATAAGAACAAGAACACAAGATGAGGTTATTGATGTGTCTTCCTCATAGGCACAACATGACATCAGTACAGTCATAAAGATTATAATATGGAGGAAGAGGGTTATTCTAGTCATCATCCGACACACACACTGGTATTGAAAGACCAATATTGCTTTATGGATGACTTAAAATTTCAGACTAATGCACAGTATTGGACCATATATGAGATTGGAAGCAGGTCATCATTAATCAACTACATTCACATACACCTAAATAGCTTTCAGCAAGAAAATAACCAAGATACTCACGACAACAGCATCTCAATGTGATCCAATAAATAGATAATCGTGGCAAACAATCCATAGAGGAAAAGTTTTATTTTCTATTTACACTAGTATAATAAGAGAAAAAATATTTTTGCAAATAAAACAGAATTACACTACCATGAGAAAAAATATTTTCTCTACAGGTTCTAATATTGTTGCAAATCAATAACCACTACAGGTTCTAATATTTAGATGCCTTCAAAAATCAATAATCCATGTATCTTCCCCATGTTACAATATGACACCAATACAGTCATACGATTATGACATGGTTGAGAACAGTTACTCTTGTAATCATCCGACACAAACATTGGTATTGAATAACAATATTGCTATATTGATGACTAGAAATTTTTGGACCAATGAAAAGGAAGTTGGCTATAAAAGAAACTATTGAAGGGAAACATCATTTAGGCACATATAGTTGCGTAGATCTAGATCAATTTTCAGCAAGAAATTAGCAAGTAATTCACAACAGCACCTCAATGTGGTACCATGGACAGACTTGAGACGAACACTAGAATTACACTACCAAGAATACAGAACTAGCACGATCAAGCATCAATATTAGTAACAAACAAGCATCCAGCTTCACTAACCACAGTATATCAATCACTTGGAAAAGTCTTCATAAAAATTAAGAATATACAAAATAAACTAGTCGGTGAATCGTAAAACAATGGACATCACATAAATCCAGCACATCATTATCCTGCAGAAAGTACAACTAAATGTTTTACCTTCTGACAGCTAGGCCACCAAGTAGTTTGTAACGAAGGGACTCGGCCTGGGCAATGGCGCAAAGACCCCTGTTGTTGACCTTCTCAGCATACAATTCGACGCTGTTCTCGGGAAACTTAAACCTCTTCTGCACCACAGAAGTGAGCTCCCTGATTCTCCTCCCTTTCTCACCTATTATTATCACATAGAGTAAAAGCTACATGAACTCCATTTTGTACAATGTGGAGAAAACAAAAATTAATATTTTCAACAAGTTTGCATTTTTCATCAAAAAAATGACCAAGAATGTTGAAAAGACTAAACATTTAAGATAAAAATGCATTGGAATCAATGAAGAATCAAAACATATGTTATCAATGTTATCAAACATTCACCGAGAACATTCTGCGTGCGAGTAGCGCGGATGATAATCTCGGTCCTCACGGGAGTAACCCTGACCTCGACCCCAGAATATCCGTCCTCGGCTAGCTCACGAGTCAAAACCTCGTTCAGCTCCGCAAAGAAAACCCCATCAGCAACAAACTGCAACACATTCAATTCATGAAAAGAATCATCGCCTAGCTTTTCATTACTGAGACATTGAGTAAAATAAACAGATTAGAAACCTTTCTCTTTTTGCTCATTTGAGTCGCCATTTTCAAGCTTATCACGACAGAAGCCAAGATCTGAAGATGAATGCGGTGTGGGTATTAGGGTTAGGGTTTTGTAGGAGGTGAGCCAGATCTGAAGATGAATGCGTGGAGTAGGCAGGGAAAAAAATAAAAAATAAGTGGACAAAAATAAATAAAAAAAAAAGCGGTGTGGAAAAAAATTAAACAGTCAGATTCTGATAATCAGAATCCGTTTTTCCGCCGAGCAAAAGACGAATTTTCAGAATCCGTCTTTCTTTAATGACGTGATTAATCGTATTTAATTCAACCAAACACGTGTTAACTAACACGAATTTTGAAAATCCGTTTTATAGTAGGACACGGATTCTGAGATTTTTTTTTTTTAAGTTAGGCTCGACTCTTGGATGCTCACGAACTCGTTTACCAGCGATCGCATTTATTTTGGCTGAATTTTTATTCTTATCCTTCAATATGAAGGTTTTTTATAAATTTTGATTTAACATTTTGAACACGAAATAATATCACTTTAATATCAATTCGTTCGTCAAATTATAAATCTAGCATGCATACATACATGAAAACTATATACAAAAAGACAACCACAATTACCGACAAAAAAAAAAGTGAACCACAAAATATGTACTCAAAACTATCAAGAATAAATATCTGAAAATATAGTACAAAAAAATAAAAGAAAAAAAGAAAATGTCCACAAAATCACAGAATACAAAACAAACTAACTAGGAGTAAATGTTTTCTTAGGCTGTCGTTTTTTAGACCCTCTCCGAGTCCGTGGTACCAAAGAAGACGATCCTGCGGTTGGTCCAGGCGTGGATGGTTCTTCTTCTTCTTCTTCACCTAATTAATTAATTTTTTGTAAAAAATCAGTACGACCGGACAAATAAATAAAAACAAACAGAAATAAAATATATATTTGTAGTTAAATAAAAAAATCTCACCTTCTTCGTCTTCTTCATTCCCAGGGAATGCAGCGGCGGGTTCGCGGTCACGGCGTCTTCTCCCTCCACCAATGTGGGGCGCCAGTCTTTGCCTCGCCCGCTGGGACTGTGTCTGCTGGGGTGGGGCGTACTCCTCTTGAGATAGAATTTGCCCCGACGAAGCCCCTTGTGTGACCGACGACGCCCCTTGTGTGACCGACTGGCCCCCAACAGTCAGAGAAGCGTACAGAAGTTCCAGGGCTTGCTGGAACCCTTGCTGCGCTCGGGGAGGTAGCGTATCAAACACGTCTTCAAGGTTCGATAGCGTGTTATACGCCCCCTCCGTACCCGAATTCTGAAAATAAAATTCAAATAACTATTATGAACAGATAAAAAAATAAGAATAATAATAATAACTTCAATAATAATAATAATAACAATAATCACAAATTAGCAGACACTTACCTGACACTTCTCCCGGTCGGCATATGGCTGAAACCCGCAGTCCTGTGAGATCGCCTTGTAGTTGTTAGGGTCATTGAATAGTTTCACAGTCCTACTGTGATACCAATCAATGTACCCCTCTGCCGGCTGCAGGAAGGGATCCACCAGTATATCTGGGAGGACATTCTGATCTCTCTCTTCGGTCCAGATCCTTCCAAGATCAGAATGGAAGGCCCGCCAATCGGTATATGCCCTCCCAGTCATGCCCTGGCCTTTGTGGTGAGTGTCCCAGTCGGCCAGACTAGTAATGATCGGCGTCTGGGGCATGGACTGGTGGCACCAGAACTGGCAGAGCACCCTATCAGGCTGGTGGGGTTCTCCGATGTTCCAGCAGAAGATCCACCTCTTGTACATCCAGAGATGTCGGTCCCGTGTACACTTGTCCGGGAGCCGACCCTTGTCTATGTACGTCTGATAGGGTACCCAATCAAACTGTAAAAAAAAAAAGATTTATAGAATTATTAATGAATTTAATAAAAAAATAGAATTAAAAAAAATAATAATTATCTATTATTATGACCTAAGAAACTTATATCAGTCTCTCTCAGGCCACTCAGCTGATCTCGGATGGTAGCCGTGCCCGTCTCCGGTGCCTCAAGTCCCTCGATCCCACCCACCTTAAAAATCACAGAAAAAAACTATTTGTAATTACAAAATTTGATAATTGAAATAACTTAAGCGTTAAATATAAATAAAGGTTATTATTACCTTGCACCCAAGGGACAACCAGCCTGAGAGCCGAAATGCGTTCTCTTATTGAATGGGCGAATACGAGGGATGCGTTCCCATGCCCAAACCTGCACATATGGACATACACATTTTTTAGCACATATTATTGTAATTTATAATAAATAAAATTAATTTACAATTAACAAGTAAATAAATTTACCTGAATCAACTGCATGCAGCTCTTGATATATTTTTCCTCCCTCTCGTAGGCGTCGCAGAGCGCTCTATATACCCCGGCCAGAAGCGCTCCATCCCAGCTGTACCCCAGAATGGCATCGATGTTAGTCAACAGGGACAACCAGTAAAGGTTGACTCCATTGGCCCGATGGTCGGGGAAGAAGAAGAACCCAATACACCAGAGTATCAGGGCTCTCTCCCTCCTCTCGTACTCTGATGTAAGGAGTCCATCCTCCAGAGGTCGCTTGCACTCGTCTTCCAAACTACTAAAATACAGGTACTGGCCTGAAATGTCTCAAGTCTTGGGGTCGTAGGCCAGGTCCCCGAGATCCTTGAAATACGTTTATATATATATTAAAAACGACTCATGACTTAAGTATACATAAACACAATAATAAAAAAAATAAAAAATAAAAAAAAATAAGCAAAAAAAAGTTTTAGGTAAAAATATACCTGTACATATGGGAGCTACCCTAGAGCGTCCACGCAATAGGCTCTCCACTCTTGAGGAGTCCGCTGTACGGTCTGTCCCCAGCACGCATCCCCGCTGACGGGGAGGCCAAATAGTATCTGAACGTCTTGGAGAGTGATCATGGCCTCCCCGAAGTCGAAGTGGAAGGTGTGCGTCTCCGGACGCCACCTCTCCAACAGGCATGTAATGAGGGCATTGTTTGTCGGGACCCACCCCATCCGAAACAAAGGCCCGAAATCGGCCTTCTCGATCACCTCCCAGGTCCGGGTATTTTGTTTGTTGCCCTGCAAGGCAGCCCAGAATTGGGTGTCCGCACGGCGTGGCTTAACCACGCCGTGGCGAAACCCCGGTGCGTCCTCATATACCGCCTTGGACCGGTGGCGGTTCTGAAGATATAGAAGTGAGGGGTCACTAGGGTCGGGGTGTGGGGTGTAGGGTTGAGGGTTCGAGGATGACGATGCCATTTTCTGCAAAAATGACCGAGATTGTAATATATTGTTTAGTAGGACTAATTCGAGGGTTCGAGGACTAATTCGAACCCTATAGTCAACCAAATAAACGAGACACAACAAAAGAAACGAACCCTATAGTCAACCAACACAAAATTTGATCACCTCAATAATCAATTGAACACAATACTCACAATCGAGCCCAAACAAATTCAACAAATCCCAGGCACCAACATCACCAAATTCATAAATTCATAACGACCTCGATTTACGACGAAATCGCCCGAGGTCTTCACCATAAGACCAAGGATCCTAAAATGTTCCAATCCACAGGCACCAACATCACAATTAACGTATTGAACTAAATCGAACACAATTAACGTATTGAACTAAATCGAACACAAATCCCAGGCACCAACACAATTAACGTATTGAACTAAATCGAACACAATTAACATATTGAACTAAATCGAACGCAAATCCCAGGCACCAACATCACAATTAACGTATTGAACTAAATCAAACACAAATTCATACGGCGAATATTAAATCGCAAAGCATGTTCAACACGGCAAATAAACTCGAAATTAACGAGAGGGATGAGCCTCGGTACCATTCTTGGGATTACGTTCGAAAAATGGGACGGACGAGGGTCGAAGGGCTCGACGGCGAAGGAGATGGCAGCAGCGGCGGCGGA